GTTTCACACTGAAACTTGTGTTGGAACGTTCTCTCACACGCGGCTATCAGGGAAGCTTGAATGGAATCGCGCAGTCCTTGGGTAATTTATGCTGTGACGGTATAGGACCACAGTTTCGATGTCGGAATCTACGAATTTGAGGAGTCTTTCTTTTATCCCTGGCAGGAGTAACTTGACCAAGGGCTTGACGATTCCTCACACATGATTGGTAGTGACGTTCACTTACTGATCGGTGAAGTGAGGACAGATCTCTGTGCGCACACAATTAGTGTGGGCCGCACAATTCGAGCAACGTGCTGATGTCAGGCTGGCATTGTCAGTATTTCTTAAGCGTTCAAGGTGTTCCGTGCTTATCACCACTCTCACATTCATATGAAGATATTCTACATTCTGGCTATCCTGCTCGCCCTGGGTGTTGTTAACGGTGATGTTCACGTGGATGATACCGAGAAGATCTTTTCCGACATGATGATGAATAGGCAGGCCGATAATGGCGGTCATGTATCCGACTTCGACCAGAAACAAGACTCGCCTAACAACCTTGGAGAGCCATTTTCTTGTGCTGCGTGTAAAACCTGCAAGACACTGAGGTATGTTCCGGCTATCTGCTGGGGAGTATATCTTGGGTGTGGCGGTAACTGCCACCAACATTGTTGTTGACTGCGGTAATTGTTGGGATCATCCCAATGGGATGGATATATTTGATGTTTTTGCCCGACCAACAAGCCAGGTGTAGTGTACACCGTGTACATCTCCCATACATGTTCAGACATGACTTTATATCTCGACCCATTTTCATTTCCTCAGCTAGAATTTCAGTCGCGTCGGTCCAAGAAAGTTATCTGATGCAAAACTAGTTTCGTTGTCAGCCTCAGGATGCCATCCCTGGTCACGGCTATCTTTAAGGTCGTGCGGCACAGTGTTGCTGAGGATGCATCACGAGATGACCCACATTGGTTTAGCATGTCGTCGAGTCTTTTTTGTATTAACCTTGTCCCTGCTGATATGTGCTGTATGCGCCACCGTTGATGGCTTGCGTATAGCTATCGACGCTTCATAGATCGCTCTGTCGTGTCCCACCATAGTATGGATTCCATACCCTTCAGAGGTCTATTTGGTGGATAAAGTGGCTATGTTCGCGGATAAATTATTTACATACAGGGTTATGAACACTAATTTAGTGCTTGTGTTTACTGGAGTGGATCATACTAGCGAATGAAGAAGTCAGTTTAGCCGCTAAACTTTGGCGACGCGGTTCAAATGAGGATTACAACTTAGGCGAAAGTGCGATCTTGTGCGATCTTGTGCGATCTTGTGCGATCAGAGCTCGCCGAGGTCTGATTGTTCAATTTCGCCAAAGTAACAGATTCCGGCGTCACTTCGGAATCCGATACTTTGGCGGAATTGAATGTACTTTCAGCGAAATTGATTTCCGCACTTCTCCCGAATTGAACTTACTTCGGGCGTGCCCGCGAAATTGAGTGTACTAATGACATGCTCGTCGAAATTGATTT